AAAAAAAAAAAAAAAAAAAAAAAAAAAAAAAAAAAAAAAGGAGGTGTGAATTGCAGTAAATGGAAATTGCTGGAAATGTGGAGATGGAAAAGGCACCACTAAATCAGTTCTCACCTCCTTTCCTTTCCGTGTACCTTTTTAGTTTTAGAGTGTGCATTCAACTTAAAGAAAAAGGGTTAAGTCAAGAGAAAAAAATTAATATAAGTTAATAGTTATATTTTTTTCTTGATTCATTTCTATATCTCAAAAAAGATAAGTCTACTTTCTCTGAAATTTGATAGCAATGATCTATGTCAGGAATCACTTACCTTTTTCCTCTTTCTTTTACAGAATCCTATATTTTATTTAAAATGATCGTGTCATTTACAATCAGGCAGCCCATCCAAACATGCGGACCTATTATTTCTGCACTGATACAGGAAAGGAAATGGAGTTGTGGATGAAAGCCATGTTAGATGCTGCCCTAGTACAGACAGAACCTGTGAAAAGGTAAAAGCTTGTAGAAAAAATGATGGTGATTTCCACTTCCATTTTATTCCATGCCTTGCAAGTATTTCACTATCATAGTACATATCATTTTAATAGTCATGGTATGAAATCATTTTTTCCTCAGAAAGCAAGGATCAATTCTTGTTCTCAATTAAATTAATACACATTTTGTTAGTTTGCAATACCGCCTACATTTTATTCCACTTTTCTTCTTTATTCATTTTCACCTATCAGTGTACTGGGGTGAATTCAGAATCCTAACATTCAAACTGAATGTTCTTTCTTCTTACAGAATTACCTTTAATTTCCGGTGAGTACATTTTTAATTGTTACCTTAATGCTACACAGATTTTTATCCTTCAATATGGTATTTTTAAGATTCCAAATCTTAGAAGAGAGTTTATTTTTATGAAGTTAATTTGTGTTTTTGTGTAATACTATGTTGATGTCTCTAAAGTGTAAAGAATTACAGTAAGAAATTTTGATACTTTCTTCAACATTTCTGATTAATTTTTATTGTTTTGTGACGAATGTCTCTAGAAGATAATTCATCAAGCATTTAGATTATTTCCAAATATATCCACTTCTTGAATTGTACCTTTTTAATATTGAAACTCCACTACTCAGATTCCTTGATAATATAGATAAGTGCTGTTAAAATTGACCCATGTGTTTTTCCCTGCTTGAAGAAATGAATCATTTTAATATTATTCCTCTGATTAGATATATTTAATACATCTAGTCAGAGGAAATCTGTTTCTCAGACTACATAAATACAAGTAGTATAATGTGTTGATTAAAAATATATATTCCTATAATTTGAAGAAAAAAATATGATGCAAATAAATTTTTATTTTAATCAGGGACAGTTGAGCACATATCTTATATAAGAAAGATGGTAATGTGCGAGTTGAGCCTTTTTTCCCCTCTTCTCAGGAAATGAGGGATTGTATAAATTTAGTCCTTTGTTTTTCTTATTCTAGTGTGCATTTTAATAAAGTCTTGGCTTTTGGGCTAAAAGACTTAAGTTGATGCTGTATATTTGTACTATTTTTATAAATATGAAGTCTAAATCAAGTTACCCAATCAGTAGTAATTAGAGCTAGGGAAAAACCGAAAAGAAAAGAGGGTCTAGGATATAGTTCTAGGACGTCTATTTTTAAGAAAAACCACTTGAGTCATATGCATATTCCAGATTGAGAGCAAATAGAAGGAAAATCTGTTTTTGGAATTACCTGTGTAAAAATTACCTGAGTGACATAAAGATGAGGTGGTTAGCACTGATAACGAGAAAATGTGTAGGTGAAAAGAATTCATTTAAAATCTTCAGGCTGAGCACAGTGGCTCACACCTGTAATTCTGGCACTTTGGAGGCTGAGGGATCACTTGAGCCCGGGATTTTGACACCAGCCTGGGCAACATGACTTAACACCATCTGTACCAAAAATTAAAAAATTAGCTGGGCATAGTGGCACACACCTATAGTAGTCCCTGCTACTCAGTAGGCTGAAACAGAAGGATCACTTGAATCAGGAGGCTGCTATAAGCTGTGATTGTGCCACTGCAGTCCAGCCTAGGCAACAGAGTGAGCAGAGTGAGACCCTGTCAAAAAAAATAGAACTTCAGTACTTTTTTTTTTTTTTTTTTTAAGAGATGGGGTTTCACCATGTTGGCCAGGCTGGTCTTGAACTCCTGACCTCGTGATCCACCCATGTCAGCCTCCCAAAGTGCTGGGATTACAGGCGTGAGCTACCATACCCGGCCAACTTCAGTACTTTTAACTTCAAAACAAAATGTTTAGGGAATTGTTTAGAATATAGAAATCTGTATAATAATTAATATTTATGTCCAAATAATTTCAATATTGTATATTATACTTTTCTCAGAATTTCAACTTGTTTCTACTTTATTTTATTAAATTTACTGCTCTAATAATTACTCATAATTTGGGAAGATGAAGATGACAATTATTTGGCTTGGCTTGGTTTTTGGCAACCTGATAGTTCACTGGTTATGTGCTTATACAATTTTCAGCCAGCTATGTTGCTTAATCTACTGAGACAAGATTTATTAATACCACCTGTGTGCCCAGATTACAATCCATTATCCTGTAGAAATTACATGTTTTTTCCTACTCCTAGCTCTTGGCATTTTTATCCCACCCTATTAGATTTAGTCATTCAAAGTGAAAGTAAGTATAGGGAGATTTTGTTTGCTTGGTTTTAAGGTAGTGCACTAATTTTGCTGTACGGCTCAAATACTTAAAATATTTATTAGAAGATATCACTTGAGAGATGTAGCATCCATTTTTTAACTTGAGAGTTCATTTTCCCTAACTTTATAAAGTATTTCACCTATTCACCACAGTGTCATAGTCTCATAGTATACAGATCGTTGATAGCCAAAAAAAAAAAAAAGAAAAAACTAAGTATAATATGGATTCTCTGTAAATTTTCATCTCTAAGCCCATTATTTTCATTTTGTATATCACAGTGTATTTTCTGCAATAACTTAAATGTCACTTTTTAAAATTAGATCACAAGTTTATATTAGTTATGGTATCTTAGCATACTTTTCTGAATCAGCTTTGTTCCATTTAGAGAAAAGTCTTCACATGTGTCTTTTTGACTTATTTTTTCAATGATAAATCTTATTGGGAGGCGGAACACACCACAGTTTTAATTTAAAATAATGCATTTAGGCCAAGCATGGTGGCTCATGCTTGTAACCCCAACAATTTAGGAGGCTGAGGTCGGAGGATTGATTGAACCCAGGAGTACAGGACCAACCTAGGTGACCAGTGAGACCCCATCTCTAAAAAAATTTAAAAATCAGCTGGGTGTGGTGGTGTATGCCAGGTGCTCGGGAGGCTGAGAGGGAAGGATCGCTTGAGGCCAGAACGTTGAGGTTGCAGCGAGCTGTAATCATGTCACTGCACTCCAGCCTGGGTTATACAGCAAGAGACCTTGTCTCACATAATGATAATAATCATGACGACAGTCATAATAATAGCTTTAGATAGACTACAGTAAATATGTTTTAAAAATCTTTTCAGTTAATTTATGTTTAATGTTAAAATTCTTACCCTCCCAAATAACAAGGATACATGTGCTTTTAATGTAAATTTTCTGACTTTTTTCTGCTCTTGTTTTGAGATGGAATCTCACTGGATAAAAGTCACCCAGGCTGGAGTACCGTGGTGCAGTCTCAGCTCACTCCAACCTCTGCCTCCCAGGTTCAAGCAATTCTCCTGCCTTGACCTCCCGAAGTGCTGGGATTACAGGCATGAGCTGCCATGCCTGGCCGACTTTTATTTTTCAAGAGAAGCAAGCTCATAACCTATCTTAGTAAATTTTCCCAATGTCTAATATTGCCTCTAATCTAGGAGCTATGGTTTATATCTAACCGAAATAAATGGATAGTTCATAAGTTTAAGAAAAATAGTCACCTTTTTTATTTTCAGTTTTTTCTATGAACATACTCCAAACTTTTAGATATCTTCATCTATCATTGGTTACAGATAATATGTATATAGATCTACATATTTTCCACACATCATAAACATTGGCAGCAGTGCCATACCTAGTTTCTGATAGAAGTAATTTTATTTATTGGAATATGGAGGGTTGACTGGCTCCTGAGAGGCTTCCTAGAGTGACATGATCTTGGCAGTTTTGTGCAGGTTTAGACACTTAGCTTGATCTTGTCAGAGCTTGGAAGTGATGAGGCTCAGGGAAAGACCTAGATACAGCAGCTAGAATAGTGAGTAGTACAACTGTCAAGTGGCCTAGACACATTCTGTTAACTGGCACATTCTTTCAGTGGGCAGGTGGACATGGGATGCCAGATTTTAACCCAAGGTTGCTTGACATGATGGAATTACAGTGGTAATAAGGTCTGTGCCAGCCACTCATTCACAGATACCCTCTGATCTTGGTGACACAATTATACCCATTTACCAAAGAGGAAGCATAGGTACTTTTAAGTGTTCTGTACTTTGCCCAAAGACACAGCTAGTAAGAACAGAGTTGCAAGCTGGACATGTGCAGTCAGGATCTAAGAGCTCTAAAATCATACTGAGTTCCTCTTGAATACAGACTAGAAATGTTAATCATATGGTTCGGATCTTAGATAGCATCAGACTATAATTTCCTGTTGCAGCCGTTTCCACAACCAGAGTCATGTTTGTCTCATGAGTCAACAAGGAGCTAATCCTGGCTGGGAGCCATGTTGATTCTTTCAAGGGACTAGCTAGTATGGTACTTTAAGAGTAGATTTTGTGATTTAACTGTCATAAGGCAATCTTAATTTGCTTTATTTTCAGATTCCTAATGATGGGAGCACACATCACTTTTTACCCTCCAGTTCTTGATGTTTTCTTTTTCCCCTTTTCTGTTTATACATTCAGGGGTGTTGTGCTTGAATGTTAATACGACATCATTGGGTATTTGTGTAGACATGTTCACTGTGACCCTTGCCCCCACCCCCATAAAGTATAATTTTTCCTAGACTGAATCCCAGAAGTAACATGTGCATTATTTCATCTGTGATTTTCTTCTCTGATTTCAGAGTGGACAAGATTACGTCAGAACATGCACCAACTAAAGAAACCAATAACCTTCCCAACCATAGAGTGCTAATTAAACCAGAGATCCAAAACAATCAGAAAAACAAGGAAATGAGCAAAATTGAAGAAAAAAAGGCACTAGAAGCTGAAAAATATGGATTTCAGAAAGATGGTCAAGATAGACCCTTAACAAAAATTAATAGCGTAAAGTTGAATTCTCTGCCTTCTGAGTATGAGAGTGGGTCAGTCTGCCCTGCTCAAACTGCACACTACAGACCAGTCAACTTAAACAGTTCCGAGAACAAAATAGTCAATGTTAGCCTGGCAGATCTTAGAGGTGGAAATCACCCCAATGCAGTGCCCTTATACACAGAGGCTGATCGAGTCATACAGAGAACAAATTCAATGCAGCAATTGGAACAGTGGATTAAAATCCAGAAGGGGAGGAGTCATGAAGAAGAAACCAGGGGGTAAGTATCCATCCTGTCATTATGAACCCAGGTTTCTTTGATGCTGTGTTGGTGTAGATTGGTTTCTGAGCTACTGATTAAAATATTGATTTAAATTTTGTTAGAGCTGTTACAGCTTCATTATACTGTATCTTTTGTTTATGATGATCAGATACAAGTATTTATTCTCTGTCTCTTATTTTCTGTCACCCAACTTTGCTAGTGGCAAGGAGTCAGTCTACCTGACCAAGCACAAGGAAAGGCTTAGTTTATAGGTAGAGATTGCATTTATTTGGGAGAGGGAGGGAGTAAGCCCTATCCTCCCAACCCACCCCTGTCTCGTCCCGTTGTTATCACCCATGTTTCTGCAGCTTGGTGCAATGCAAGGATCTCCTGAGACAAGTAGTAAGGAGGCAGTGAAGGCCTACTGCTCTGTAATTTTCAGTCTTATTCTTGGGCTTTTTGAAAATCAGAATGTACATAACTAAGTATTAAATTCAAGGCCAGGTGCAGTTGCTCATGCTTGTAATCCCAGCAATTTGGGAGGCTAAAGCAGGAGAATCATTTGAGGCCAGGAGTTTGAGACCAGACTGGGTAACCTAGCAAAACCCTATCTCTGTAAAAAAATTTTTAAAAATTGGCCAAACATAGTGGCGCATGCCTGTAGTACAAACTACTTGGAGGAAGTTGAAGTGGGAGGATTGCTTTTGAGCCCAGGAGTTGGGGGCTGCAGTGAGCTATGACTGTGCCATTGCACTCCAGCCTGGGCAGTAGAATGAGACCCCAACTAAAAAAAAAAAAAGTAAATATATTTATGTGAGCATTTATTTGTTTTTGCATGCACTTTTTCTTAATATATTTATTTTACAACTAATATATGCTAATTGTGGGACCACAAAGTAAAATAATGAAAAGATATGTGGTCCAGGTTCTCACAAAAATAATTCTCTAGTAGAGGAGACGGGTGAATAAGTAAATGCAATTTATTATGATAAATACCATGAAGGGAGACCAGGGTGCTGTAGAACGCATTTCAGGACAACCAACACAATCTTAAGGATTCAGAGTCCAGGAAAACCTTTCTGGAGGAAGCAAAACACAGCTGTGAAACGAAGAATGGCATGCATATCATGGCTTAGAAAGTCAAAGCTCCAGGGTTGATAGAGAACAGAATCAAAAGAAATCCAGTATGGCTTGGTTGTAACTGGGGAAATAATGATTGAAGAACAAGGCTAGAGAGATAAGCCAGGAACAATATATTCAGATTGGTGTCTCAGAAATCTGGACAATAAATGGAGAAAGTTTAAAAGTTACTGAAGTGATTGAAGTGAGAAGAGGAAGAGGATATATTTAAGATATAATTGACAAATCTAGTTGATTGCTTTGATATGCTTGACTGCAAACTAGTCTAGCTCAAGATTAAGTTTAGTGCTGGGCGTGGTGGCTTGTGCCTGTAATCTCAGTGCTTTAGGAGGCCGAGGTGAGCAGATCACTTGAGGACAGGAGTTCGAGACCAGCCTGGTCAAGATGGTGAAATCCCATCTGCTAAAAATACAAAGATTAGCCAGACATTGTGATACTTACCTGTAATCTCAGCTACTCGGGAGGCTGAGGCAGGAGAATCTGTCTCTTGAACCTGGGAGGCAAAGGTTGCAGTGAGACAAGATCACGCCACTGTACTCCAAACTGGAGTTCAGTAAGACTCCATCTCAAAAAAAAAAAATTAAGTTTGAGCACTTGAGGGAAATCAAGAATGACACCCTGCCTTTTTGGCCTGGGCAGCTGGGGTGATTTGGTGCTTTTTACTGCAAAGAAAAGATTTGGGAAAAGAAAAGATAATGGTTGGATGGGTTATTGAGGTAATGCACGTGTTAATTAGCTTGATTAAGCCATTCCACAGTATATACATATTTCAAAACATCATGTTCACCATAAATATAATCTTATTTGTCAATTTTCTTTAAAAAGGAAACTGGCAAATGCTCAAATTTACCAGTAATCAGGGAATTGTACATTAAAGAACCAATTAAACATTATTTTTCACTTACCAGATTGACCAAAATCATAAATAAATGAATTAATTAATGTACAGATGAATAAATAAGATTATTTAATGTTGAATGGAATGACAGATATGAATAAGCTTGTATATTACTAGCAGAAAAATAAATTAATACAATTTGATTAGACAGAAAAGAAGCAGGAAGTAGTTCTGGGAGGAAAAAAAATGAAAGGATGTTTGGAAATACTTGGAAAAGTAATCACTTTTGGGAAAATAATGAAAACCTAAATCAGAAGATTGCCGAGTCACTGCTCACCAAGTTAAATCTCACTTCAAAGAAGAATCACTTTTCCCAAAAAATCATACTTTCTTAAGTTTAAAAGTGTATAGAGAGATTCAACAGATATCTGGAAATTAGAGGATTTCTTTAAGTTGTTAAGCATAAATACTAGTTTTAGGTTCCTTTTTGAGAGTAATTAATATCAGTAAAGTCTTTCCGTGACTTCTTTCTTTTGGAAATAGACCAACATCTTCTGAGGGCTGGTTTTAGGTTATTTTGAGCTACGGTTTTCTCTCAGTTCCTCCTACATTTTTGGGTTAACTGTTATGCCAGTTTTTATAAATACTGTTATTTAGATGTTCTTTTGAAATTGCATGAGTCCACTTTGGATCATAGGAAAATATCATCTGTGTTATGAAAACTTCATCATAAAAAATAGTTTGTAGTGTTTTATAATGAAATGATCTTTTTTAATTGGTGGAAGGAAACGTAATTGTAATTCAATATATAATTTATTTTTTAAAAAACTTTATGAAACCCTTTCTTTTATTATTAAAGTTCCAATAGGAAGAAAAAGATTTAATATTTAGTCGAATAGTAGATCCCTGCATCTGTGAACAAAGCTTTAAAGTTTAATTCTGAGTGGCAGGCGCTGTTAAGATGCACGGTGCCTTAAGCCATTGTTCTGCGTGGCAGAATCACTGGGACAGGATTTTTATGGTGCTTGACAGGCAGCTGCTGGTCAATGGGGCACTAACTCTGATGAAGGAGCTTAGAGTGTTCATTTCTTCAGCTTTCAGTTAAAAGTAAATCACACTTTGCTTAATTTGAATTTCTCTGGGGAAAGAAGTCACTAAAGAGACTTGTAGTTTTAAAAAACAGGTCTCGAAGTGCTAGAAATATATGGGATAAAAATACATTTACTTGATAATAATTTAATTTTTAACTAAAATTCCCCAAATGTGGTTCCAAAGATGCAGAAGAGCCTTTTAATGTCATTAATTAACCAAGCTTACTAAAAATATATATATCCTACTATTAATGATCATATGATAGGTTGACAGTTCAGGTTCAATATACATCTCTACAACAGGGTCCAGCTCACACACTAGGAGTACTTCAGAGCACTTGACAGAAGTGTTTTAGGGTAATTATATTTTTGAACTTAATTTACTCATTCGTTTATAGGCAATTTTTGGTGTGTTTTAGATTGATAATGTGTATCTTCTTCCTTATATTGTTTCTATGCTGTAGCTCAGTGCTTAACCTCAAGCTTTTGCATATTAAGCCTACTGTAGTATTTCTTGAATTTAGGAATGACAAACTAAAGCAAGGTGTGTCAGGGTAAATTGCTTTAGTACTGGGGCAGTCTCTTTGATGGAATCAACTTTCCCTAGCTGATATATTTGCACATAGTCATGGGGTTGCCAGATCTGTACATTTTGCAGTTTCTGGCTTTTGTGAGATCAGAGAAGGTGAAGGTGGGGAAGAAGACGAAGCAGAAACAAAATGGGAAATAGCTGTGGGGGGAAAGCCTCAAGCAATTGAACTCTTTATAATGGAGATATATTTTTTTTCTTTTTTTTTTTGAGACGTAGTGTCACTCTGTCGCCAGGCGTGATCTTGGATCACTGAAACCTTCGCCTCCCAGATTCAAGCGATTCTCCTGCCTCAGCCTGCCGAGTAGCTGGGACTACAGGCACGCACCACCACACCCAGCTAATTTTTGTATATGCTGGTTATATAAGAGAAATTGGATATCTTTCTCCTTCACTCTACCCCCCTGAAGGCATTGGGTGCTTGTCCTAGATGCAGTGGTTCTTGTCTGGAGGCATTTTGTTCAATTTTGAACAAACTCTTTTCTAGTAGAAACATTGAAATCCTGAAGAACAACCAGCATGATGAAGAAAATTTAGCTTAGGAAAAATGGTTGAAGGAATTAGAAATATTTAAAATACAAAATGAGGCATAGAATTTTGGAGCTCTAGAATAAGTTTATGATGCAATCATCTTCTAGATAAGAAAAGAGGATCCCAGTTTCAGTTGGCCATTTGGCTAGATTTTGGTAGCATATAAAGGGCTCTCTGGTACTATAAGATTATCCTTCATAATTTTTTAGTGCGTTTTTATTTTTAACTAAGTCACTGTGATATATGAGCATGATTTTTTAAAAATAATATATCTTTGGCAAAATTTAAAAATAGAGGTTTTTTTTTTTAAAAAAAATCAATCCAAAAGTTTAGGTATCACTGGCATAATTAAAAGAGCAGTGTTTTAGAAAGTGGAGACCTGCGTTTTAGTTCTGTCTAGACCTTGCACTCTTTCTGTAACCCCAAGTATGATCTCTTGGACCAGACATGGTAGCTCACACCTGTAATCCTAGCACAAAAGAAAAAAGAATATGATCTCTTGGTCTTTTCTCCCCTGCATTCCATGTAACTCATCTACAGTCTAAGTACTTAGTAGGAAAGTAAGAATCAAAACTTGGCTTTCCTGATTTTTGATCAACCACTTTTCCTATTTTACTATTTTCCCACTATATCCCCTCTGGGTGCTTTAACCCATGAAGAGAAGGTATATTTAACATGAGATTTTTGAGGCCGGACGTGGTGGCTCACAACTGTAATTCAAGCACTTTGGAGGCCAAGGCGGGCAAATTATCTGAGGTCGGGAGTTCAAGACTAGCCTGACCAACATGGTGAAAGCCCGTCTTTAAAAAAAATAAAAAATAAATAAAACATGAGATTTTCCTCTTAGTATAAAAGTAACATAATTTTACTATCCCAATAGACCCAAACTCCGTATTTAATTAATTGTTTGCCTCATAATCCAGAATGCACTCAGTTCATCACACCTAATCACAATGAAATCTCTTTTTTTTTTTTTTTTTTTTTTGAGACAGAGCCCTCCCTCTGTTGCCCAGGCTGGAGTGCAGTGGTACAATCTCAGCTCACTGCAACCTCCACCTCTCGGGTTCAACCAATTCTCCTGCCTCAACCTCCTGAGTAGCTGGGAGTACAGGAGCATGCCACCACACCCAACTAATAATTTCTAGTTTTTATAGAGATGGGATTTTGTTATGCTGAACTCCTGACCTCAAGTGATCCACCTGCCTTGGCCACCCAAAGTGCTGGGATTATAGGGGTGAGCCCCTGCACCTAGCCTAAAGTCTTAACAGTAATATATCAGTATTTGTGCAGTGTTACTGACAAGTCTTTTGGTCAACAGAGAGCTCTTATATGCAGATTATCAGTGGAGTCCCAGATTATTAAGAGTATGGTCAAATAATTTTCCCATCAAATCTTTAATCCCTTATGGTCCATGTAATCACCAGTATCTCTGACATTTTCCCAACCAGTAGGAGCCCATATAATATTAGGAGAAAGTTGTTAACTAAACGTTGAAAGAAGAGATCCGGAAACCTCAGTTTGTGGGGTCTCAATCCTTCCACATACTTGGTTCATTGAATATGTTGACTTTTGTATTAGGATATAAATTTATGCCTATGGAGGTGATAGTATAAGATAAATACTTGTAATTTAATCTTTCTTTTTCTTTTTTTTGGCGGGGTTGGGGGAGGGCACAGAGTCTCTCTCTGTCACCCAGGCTGGAGTGCAGTGGCACGATCTCAGCTTACTGCAACCTCCATCTCCCAGGTTCAAGCAATTCTCCTGCCTCAGCCTTGCAAGTAGCTGCGATTATAGTCATGCACCACCATGCCTGGCTGATTTTTGTATTTTTAGTCAAGGTGGGGTTTCACCATGTTGGCCCAGCTGGTCTCGAACTCCTGGCCTCAAGTGATCTGTCCACCCTGGTCTCCCAAAGTACTGGGATTACAGGCGTGAGCCACCACACCCAGCCTAATCCTGCTTTGTCTAATCTAGATTTTCTTCTGGTGGTGGTTGTTAAAAAGTTATGTTTGGGAAAAATAAAAAATTTGCCAGGCATGGTGGCATACACCTGTAATCCTAGCTACTCAGGAGGCTGAGGCAGGAAAATCACTTAAGCCCAGGAGGTCCAGGCTGCAGTGTACCCCACTGCATTTCAACCTAGGCGACAGGGTGAGACCCCATCTCAAAAAAAAAAAAATTATGTTTGTATTTAGAATTCGAATTATATCTACACTTCTGTTTCTAAAGGGAATAGACGGCCAGGCATTCATGCCTGTAATCCTGACAGTTTGGGAGACCAAGGCAAGCCAATTGCCTGAGCTCAGGAGTTCCAGATCACCCTGGACAGCATGGTGAAACTATGTCTCTACGAAAGTACAAAAAATTAGCTGGGCATGGAAGCTGGTGTCTGTAGTCCCAGCTACTCAGGGGGCTGAGCCAAGAAAATCGCTTGAACCTGGGTGGTGGACTTTGCAGTGAGCTGAGATTGCACCAATCCACTTCAGCCTGGGCGACAGAGGGAAACACTGTCTCCAAAAAAAAAAAAAGATTATAGGGAAACAAAAATGCTAACTTTACACAGAGTTTTTAATTGACTTCTTTTTTCTTTTTTTTTCTGGCTCCCCTACCTAACTTTAAAAAAGTTTTTTTTTATCATGGATTTCACCTAGCATGAAGTTGGCACTGTGATAGTTTTATAAATTCAAAGAGTGTGTTTATCAAAGTTTTTTTTTTAAAAATAGTAACTGAAATTTATTCTCTCATTTTTGGAAATGGTAATATTTTGTGCTTAGTAATACGCAATTACATATCCAATTCCCAAAATTAGCATTTTAAAAGAATTATACTTTGCATGTATAATGTACATGAAGCATTTTTAGATTGCTTTAAAAAGCCCCCTGAAAAATATTCCACCATCTATGAAGTGGATTATTAATTCCTGTGCTGGAAACATTGTAAAATTGCTTAGATTGCAGATTTATATCTGAAATATTGTGATATTTAAGTATTTTATCTTTAAATAATAGAATTCTGAGCTTCAGCTACAATCATTTTTATATTTCAAGTTAGGAAAAGCTATGAAAGGAAGTTATTCCTCCAAACCAAATGTACTGATGTATTTATTCCCATAAATAACCATGCTTCCTGAAAGAAAACTATGCTCTGTGGGTATAACTCACTTCATATTTCATCAATACATAGATGAAATATACATACATTCCATCCATCCTAGTCCTCTGATAAGATGTATGAAAATGAGAATTTATTTATGTAAAAACAAATAAAATATAGGGACAGAATTGAGATGAGATTTTGAACATTCTTATTTCTCAAATGAAGAATAATACTCTTTCATCTTCAAACCAAACTATACATTGTGTGAAACTAATAGTCTTTTGTGTAATTGATATAGATGCTGTTCACCCTGTATTAAGTTTGTCAAATAGAATTTCATAAAAAGATTAAAGTCTGTTAATAGTTTATACCTTGTATGCTATTTCGATCTTTAAAAAAATATATATTCTAGGCCGGGCATGGTGGCTCATGCCTGTAATCCCAACACTTTGGGAGGCTGAGGCAGGTGGATTACCTGAGGTCAGGAATTCAAGACCATCCTGGCCAATGTGATGAAACCCTGTCTCTACTAAAAATGCAAAAATTAGCCAGGCATCATTGAGGATGCCTGTAATCCCAGCTGCTCAGGGGGCTGAGGCAGGAGAATCGCTTGAGCCTGGGAGACGGAGGTTGCAGTGAGCTTGGATCAAGCTATTGTACTCCAGCCTGGGCGACAGAGTAAGACTCCATCTCCAAAAAACATATATATATATATATATATATATATTCTGGTATATATTTTACTTACTGGAACAAAAGAAATGTACACTAATTTGGAATATTAATAACTGTCCTTCATTTTTACATTTTAATTATTTTTTTTATTTTAGAGTAATTTCTTACCAAACATTACCAAGAAATATGCCAAGCCACAGAGCCCAGATTATGGCCCGCTACCCTGAAGGTTATAGAACACTCCCAAGAAACAGCAAGACAAGGCCTGAAAGTATCTGCAGTGTAACCCCTTCCACTCATGACAAGAGCTTAGGACCTGGAGCAGAAGAGAAACGGAGGTCCATGAGAGATGACACAATGTGGCAGCTCTACGAGTGGCAGCAGCGTCAGTTTTACAATAAACAGAGCACCCTCCCTCGACACAGTTCTTTGAGTAGTCCCAAAACCATGGTTAATATTTCTGACCAGACAATGCACTCTATTCCCACATCACCTTCCCACGGGTCAATAGCTGCTTATCAGGGATACTCCCCTCAACGAACTTACAGATCGGAAGTATCTTCACCAATTCAGAGAGGAGATGTGACAATAGACCGCAGACACAGGGCCCACCACCCTAAGGTAAAATAGCTGCTGATTTTGTGTTAACTCACTACTTTATAAATGCTGTGTTTTTTTTGTTTTGTTTTTTGTTTTGTTTTTTTGAGACGGAGTTTCGCTCTTGTTACCCAGGCTGGAGTGCAATGGCGCGATCTTGGCTCACCGCAACCTCCGCCTCCTGGGTTCAGGCAATTCTTCTGCCTCAGCCTCCTAAGTAGCTGGGATTACAGGCACGCGACACCATACCCAGCTAATTTTTGTATTTTTAGTAGAGACGGGGTTTCACCATGTTGACCAGGATGGTCTCGATCTCTTGACCTCGTGATCCACCGCCTCGGCCTCCCAAAGTGCTGGGATTACAGGCTTGAGCCACCGCGCCCAGCAATGTTTTCTTTCTAGTGTGAGAGACAAGACAATGGGGAGAAAGTAAGCAAGGCAGCTCTTTCTTGTTTTAAAAATTAAATAAAAGGGCCAGGCACAGTGGCTCATGCCTTTAATCCCAGCACTTTGGGAGACCAAGGTGAGTGGATCACAAGGTCAGGAGTTTGAGACCAGCCTGGCCAACATGGTGAAACCCTGTGTCTACTAAAGATAAAAAAAATTAGCTGGGTGTGGTGGCAGTCGCCTGTAGTCCCACCTACTCAGGAGGCTGAGGCGGGGGAATCGCTTGAACCTGGGAAGCATGGGTTTCAGTGAGCCAAGATCACACCACTGCACCCCAGCCTGAGCTAAAGAGCGAGACTCTGTCACCAAAAAAAAAAAAATTAAATTAAAATATTTTGCAATGTTAAGATCTCATGTATAAAAAATACCTAATTGCAACATTTCATCTCTTAGGAGCGCAGGAGCAGTTCTTTTGAGCAGATGAATTCTGTATTCTCTGCTTGATACCCTATCTCATCAGTTCTCCGTCTAGATTAATACCACACACAGTTTTTTTGTTTGTTTTGGATTTGGGGTGGGGTTTTTTTGTTTTGTTTTGTTTGTTTTGTTTGAGACAGAGTCTCACTGTATTGCCCAGGCTAGAATGCAGAGGCACAGTCTCAGCTCACTGCAACCTCCACCTCCTGGGCTCAAGCGATTCTCCTACTTCAGCCTCCAGAGTAGCTGGGATTATAGGCACGTACCACCATGACGGCTAAGTTTTGTATTTTCAGTAGAGACGGAGTTTCACCATGTTGCCCAGGCTGGTCTTGAACTCCTCACCTCAAGTGATCCACTGGCCTCGGCTTCCCAAAGTACTGGGATTACAGACATGAGCCACTGTGCCTTCTCTAGACCAGATGCATTTTTACTGGCTTTTCATACACTTGCGAATTCTATACCTATCCTCTTCTGGCAATTTTATATCAAGTTCATTCTGTTGTTCTTGAGGATAAAAGTGTTAACTATCTTCTAACCAACTGAATATATGACATAATGAAATATATCCTTAAACACTCAATTTAATATTAGAGGAGCATAATGTTATGTATACATTTTTTAAAAAGGAGATCATGTTTTACTTTGTACATTAAGTTAGTTTAAGCATTGCTTAATATAGCTTATTTGAAGCGAAGTCAGTGTGTGTTGTATCAGTCAGCTTTTCATAATTGTAAAGCAGTGGTTTTGATTAGTCAGCTAGTACACAGCCAGTTCCTTAATGTCTATTCTAAGGTGCTCTTTTTTTTCATACTTAAGAATTTCTTGGCCAGCCATAGTGACTCATGCCTGTAATCCCAACATTTTGGTAAGCCAAGGCCATAGGATCACTTGAACATGGGAGACTGAGGCTGTAGTAAGCTGTGCTTGTGCCACTGCACCCCAGCCTCGGCAACAGAGCAAGACTCTGACTTAAAAAATAATAATAATTGTTTTAGTCATAGGAAGATAAGGGTAAAGAAAATAAAATAATAATAATAGGTTATTGCTTTATACTATTTTTAAATGCTTATCCTTGTGACAGGCTGAATCTTTCAGCTGCATTATTACATAAAGCATTTGCTTGATATTTCCACAAATAAGCATTTGTTAGAAATTAATAAATTAGGCCAGGCATGGTGGCTCACGCCTTTATTCCCAACACTTTGGGAGGCTGAGGCGGGTGGATCACGAGATCAGGAGTTCGAGACCAGCCTGACCAACATGGTGAAACCCTGTCTCTACTAAAAATATAAAAATTAGCTAGGCATGGTGGCTCACACCTGTAATCCCAGCTACTCAGGAAGCTAAGACAGGAGGATTCCGTGAAGCCAGGAGGCAAAGGTTGCAGTGAGCCAAGATTGTGCCACTGCACTCCAGCCTGGTTGACAGAGCGAGACTCCATCACCAAAAAAAAAAAAAGGAAATTAATAAATTAATCAGGAATTTTCCTTTGAAGAAAGCTTTAATTTGCCTCAAAAAAAGGCTCACTTAGAACTCCATTGTAACAAAGTTCATGTTTCCTCACTTTGTACTTAAAGACTAAATCATGATTGATAAAAATAGTAACAATATATAAGAAAAATTTGATCTAATACAGTGTGTGGTATAACAAGTGGCTCTAAATTACATGCTCTTGTGGTTAATAGTATTTTTCATGTTCTTACCCATAATATATCATCTGTTTCAACAGCAAATATGAGATGAATCTATATTCTCTATCCAATTCCCAACTATCTACTACTGCTACTCCTAAAAGACTTCTCCAAAATTGCTAAATTCTTCTTTCAAACTATCCTATCCTCTTCCTTGTTCTAGATCAGTGGTTCACAAAGTGTAGTTCATGGACCCCTGTGGGAGTTCCCTCCCCATGACCCTTTCAGGGAGTCAGAACTATTTTTATAATCATAATCAGGCATTATTCATTTTGTTCCCATTTGCTATGGTGAGTATAATTTCTGGCACCTTAGCATAAATCAAGGCAGTGGCTCCAGACTATACTGGTGGTCATTGTGTCTTTCACTGCCACACACTTCAAGTGAAAAAGTATCAGGTTCACTTATAAATCTCGTTCATGAAACAGTAGAAAATAATTTTATTGAACCTTAACCTTTTGTTACATATTCTTTTACTATTACTTGTGATGAAATGGTAAATGCACAGAGCATTTCTGTGGCATACCAAAGTGCTAATGGTTGTCTCACAGAAAAATGTGATTGAGTTGCAAGCTGAATTAGCTCCTTTTTTTTTGTGAAAAAAAACACGTTTTTACTTGAACAAAAGGCAACTATCAATATTCAGACACGGTATTTGATAGACACATTTTCTCAAAGTGAATGCTATCCTGTCACTTCAAGGAAAACAACTGACAGTATTTGTCACTGATGACAACATTGGAGTTTTCAAGCAAAAAATAGAATTTTGGAAATCATGTATCTGCCACTCTGAACTTGACAGCTTTCCGGTGCTTAGAGATTGGTGGTGATATTAACATTAGTGATTTTTTATATTGTATACTAACGTATGTCAACATTTGGAACATTTCATAACTCACTGAACCAATTTTTTCCAGATGACCAGTGTTTGATATTGCAAGATTCACTTGAAGTACAAATAGACCAGTGGATATTTTATGTAACAGAGTATCAAAAGTTCATTGATAAGGTTTTGGATACCACACTAACCTTTAAAAAACGAAGTACCACTTTTTTGAGCTATAGCGCAATGTCAAAGATGAACATCTATAATTATCAAGAGAAACTATTAAAGTTCTCTTCCTTTTTACAACTATATATATTGAGGGTAGATTTTTTTTCACATACTTCTACTAAAAGAGATTATCACAACAGATTAAATACAGAAGCAGATACAAGAATGCAGGTATACATTAAAGATTTGCAAAAATATAAAACAATGCCACTCGTGCCACTAAATTTTCTTTTTAAAAATTTAAAGGGATCCTGAAGCCAAAGAGTTTTAGAGAACCTCTAAACCAGGCCATAGAATTACTCTGTTCAGGCTGGGCACTGTGGCTCATGCTTGTAATCCAAGCACTTTGAGAGGCCAAGGTAGGCAGAACTCTTGAGGCCAGGAGAGACCAGCCTGGCCAACATGATGAAACCCTGTCTCTACTAAAAGTACAAAAATTAGCCACGCATGTTGGTATGCACCTGTAATCCCAGCTACTTGAGAGACTGAGGTAGGAGAATCTTTTGAACCTGGGAAGTGGAGGTTGCAGTGAGCTGACATTGTGCCATTACACTCCAGCATGGGCCACAGAGTGAGACTCTGCCTCAAAACAAAACAAAGAATTACTCTGTCCATCCACATCTGTTTTTGTTTTTTTTGTCGTTGTTGTTGTTTTTGTTTTTTTGGTTGTTGTTTTTGTATTTTTGAGACAGTCTCACTCTGTTGCCCAGGCTGGAGAGCATTGGCACTGTCTCGGCCTACTGCAACCTCTGCCTCCTGGGTTCAAGCAATTCTCCCACTTCAGCCTCCCAAGTAACTGGGATTACAAGCGCACATCACCATGCCTGGCTAATGTTTTGTATGTTTAGTAGAGACGGGGATCTCACCATGTTGGCCAGGCTGGTCTCAAACTCCTGACCTCAAGTGTTCCCATCTTGGCCTCCCAAAGTGCCGGGATTACAGATATGAGCCACCGCGCCCAGCCCCACATCAGTATTTTATGAAACAGAAATTTTAGTCTCTATTATCTTTCATAGGCACTAATAGCAATTTGAAATGGTATTTCATAATATGAATTTAAGATTTGTCCTTGCTGACATTGACAAGAAAAAAAAAAACTTTACCACAGAATTACATTGTGCCTTTACTTTCCTAGCATGTCTATGTGCCTGACAGAAGGTCAGTGCCAGCTGGCCTGACTTTACAGTCTGTTAGTCCCCAGAGCCTCCAAGGGAAAACGGTGAGTAATATCTTTATTTACCATACCATGTTTTATTTATGTGCTGCACAGAAGATACATATCTAACGTAGTTTTTTAAGTTTGGATTTTCAGAGGTGTCTCCCAAAGAAAAAACTACTGCTTTTGTGCAAGAGATGTTCATCAGAAGAATTTGGAATCATGTAGCCATTTTAGTGTTTTAGTGGATACCTTTTCCTAAGTGTCTGACTGCCTAAATAAAAGATTATATTTTGAAATTTTATGGCCGGGTGTGGTGGTTCATGCCTATAATCCCAGCACTTTGGAAGGCTGAGGCAGGTGGATAGCCTGAGGTCAGGAGATCGAGACCAGCCTGGCCAACATGGTGAACCCCGTCTCTACTAAAAATACAGAATTAGCAGGCATGGTGGCACATGCCTGTAATCCCAGCTACTTGGGAGTCTGAGGCAGGAGAATCACTTGAACTCGGGAGGTGGAGGTTACAGTGAGCCAACACACCATTACACTCCAGCCTGGGTGACAGAGCTAGACTGTCTCAAAAAAAAAAAAAAAGAAGAAACTTTATTGTATGAGGTAGATGGATTTCTTTGTTAATTCCCTTATTAAAACAGAAATTACAGTCATTCATTAGTGAACAAATCCAGCAAGCAGCTATTTGTGGTCAAACTATGGTGTATTATGTTTTCCCTGTGAATTTTTAGATTAACTTCTTTAGAGTTAATCTAAAGATTAACAGTTAATAAACTGATTTACGTATCAGCAGAAAAAGAAGACTGTGACAAACATTCGGTCAACGGAAGCATTTACCATTATCATTTCATTATCAGTGTTATGTTCCATTGGAAAGAACACTGTTCTAGTTAAAGAGAAAAGATGACTTTTGGCCGGGCGCAGTGGCTCACGCCTGTAATCCCAGCACTTTGGGAGGCCGAGGCGGGTGGATCACGAGGTCGAGAGATCGAGACCATCCTGGTCAACATGGTGAAACCCCGTCTCTACTAAAAATACAAAAAATCAGCTGGGCATGGTGGCGCGTGCCTGTAATCCCAGCTACTCAGGAGGCTGAGGCAGGAGAATTGCCTGAACCCAGGAGGCGGAGGTTGCGGTGAGCCGAGATTGCGCCATTGCACTCCAGCCTGGGTAACAAGAGTGAAACTCCGTCTCAAAAAAAAAAAGATGACTTTTCCTCACTTTAATTTTTTTTTTTATTTAATTTATTTTTTTTTATCAGGGCACTGGCTTTATTGTCAGTAGATAGTTTCTGTAAAGGTGTGATTTTAGCACCCATTCATTATTTAAAATTCTCTTCTGTAGTAATCAAAACAAATTCATCTTATGTGTTTTGTAAGAACATTGTTTTATCTTTTACATGTTTAGATAAAAGGAAGTATTTCCTTGCTTTAAGCTACTTGCAGTTTATTTGTCAAAGATTATAAATATTACTTGATTAAAACGAAGACCTTTTAAATGTTGGAATTTTAAAACATTAGATTTTTGACCTGACAAATAGGCATTAATCATAAAGTAAATGCTAATATCATACCACAAATGTTTCTCTCCTCCTTACTCCCTCTAGTGGAAATGTAGCATAAAATTTATTTCCCACCTCCTACTTTCTTTGGTCAAATGTGCCTCTTTATTTGACCTCAAAATCTAAATAAAGTTATTGTTTGACCTCAAAATCTAAATAAAGGATCTTTCATCCTTTTGAAGATCTCTTAATGTTTTTAACTCCATAAATAATAAACCAGAGTTTCAGTATTTCTTGTGGTATCACCCTGGGTTCTTAGAATACCTAAATCTCTTACCCCACCTTACCTTCTCCCTGGCAAGACTTCAGGTGCTGGATATGATGATCATAAAACAAGGATCATCTAGCATCATGAGGTCACGAGATAGGATTGGAATCAGAGCAAAAGCAGCTGTTCTTTTACTCTTACGTGGCTTATTCTTTAAATCTCACACACCAAACATTGTTTGACCGTTTATTATGCAGTAAAAGACTGTTGTCTCACCTGTGTATATCCAGTTTTATCTAAGGAATCCAATAGTAACCATAGTTTACTTCTACTAACGCTTTTTCTGTCTGAAGGCAATAATTTTTAATATGATTTAAGATACCAATTAAAAATGATTTGTTTTTGAAAAGAATTATAGGGAAATAAATAGCAATAGCAAATAAACAGAACAGAAGAGAGCTAGTGCAACGCTGTGGTGTAGGCAAAACAAACCAATCTCAGAAATAGCTTTTTAGCCTGGAAGTTCTAAGAGTACATTGTAGCACTCAAGTGAGGAGAGTCTCCCTTTGGCCCACTTTCATTTTTTAATCATAACAAAGCTCAGAGATGTACCAAGTAATACTTTATGGGCTGTAAGACTGCCAATGCCCATACTTTACTGTATTTCTAAGAAAAGTATATCAAACTGGCCCATTTTAAGGAATTTCATCCACCATTGAAAATTTGTTGGTTTTTTTTTTTTCTTTGGATCATAGTCACCAATCAGGATCCAAAAACAAGTTATCTGCTTTTCCCAGAGCGAAGAAGGAGGGTTTATGTGCCCATGGAAACTTTCTCTTTTAATTAAAAAATAAAACTGTAGCTGGGCATGGTGGCGCGTGCCTGTAATCCCAGCTACTCAGGAGGCTGAGGCAGGAGAATTGCCTGAACCCAGGAGGCGGAGGTTGCGGTGAGCCGAGATCGCGCCATTGCACTCCAGCCTGGGTAACAAGAGCGAAACTCTGTCTCAAAAAAAAAAAAAAAAAAAACTGATCTTTCGGTCATAAAAAATGCTATGAAAACATTAACATTGTCATCTCAGAATAAAACTGGGAAGTGATTAATTGAACCCAGATACCGAGTTTAAAAATGTGAAGATATCCAAGTTTTACATTTAATTTATTTTATTTTATTTATGTATTTATTTTAAGACAGAGTCTCGCCCTGTTGCCCAGGCTGAAGTGCAGTGGCACGGTCTCGGCTCACTACAACCTCTGACTCCTGGGTTCAAGCAATTCTCCTGCCTCAACCTCCCAAGTAGCTGGGATTATAGCCATGCGCCACCATGCCCAGCTAATTTTTCGTGTCTTTAGTAGAGACGGGGTTTCACCGTGTCGGTGAGGCTGGTCTCGAACTCCTGACCTCATGATCCACCCGCCTCAACCTCCCAAAGTGCTGGGATTACAGGCGTGATCCACTGTGCCCAGCCTACATTAATTTTAATTATTTTATGTACTTTCTGTTAGAAAGTTGGACATGCAGGTATTTGTGCTATTGCTAGAAAAGGTGTAATTTTTTAGACATCTTACTAAAATATCTTTTGATAATTTTTTAGCAGCACTTATGTACAAACCTTTCTAATGGCTTTTTGGCATTGTGCATTTTTGTACTGGACATTTAAATATTCTCATGAGTTCGAGAAAATGCCTTAATATACTGTTGTTTTGCTGTATCTTTTAAAGTAACACTGTTCCTTCTATTTCTCTAGATATCTATGCATTTATGTAGGACCTATCATCATAGTGCCTAGGCACTATGTTTGATGTCAACCATAAGAGGAAACTTGCCAAGAAATATTGGTTTAATATCTGTCACTTAAGACAACAATTAATCTGTTTTCCACTGTTTGGATTCTTAAATTGTACTCCTTCAGCCAGAGGAGCTTACACTGCTGCTAATAAAGCTGAGACGGCAACAAGCCGAACTGAGTAGTATCCGGGAGCATACGTTAGCACAGCTCATGCAGCTAAAGCTTGAGGCCCACAGCCCAAAGGTCAGCTATTGAGAGATCTGTCTGTGTTGTCTGCCATCATCACTTATTTTGAACCACTCATTAGTTAGTATGATCAGTATCATTAGTATTGAGCATGAGCCCATACCATCATGGTGACAACCTTAGAATCTCCTATTAACCCTTTGAGAATTCTGCTTATTTATACATTACTGAAAGAAAATACAGGTAGGGTGCATTTCTTCTTAGCCTTCTATCCACCCGCTCACCCACTGTCTTTGGTTTTGAGGAAGGAAATGCATGTAATACTTCATGTATGCATTAACTTCATGTTGTTATTCACTGAATACTATGACTTCCACATCTGGTAAAACAAATATTGAGAAGTCCTATAATTTCTAGTAAAACAATGAATTGGAAATTCATTATAGCTTTAATAATACTGCCTTTGAAATGTTAAAGATTAATTTTTAAATGTCTTCTATTTTTAATGAATGAACTCATAACCATTTCTCAAAGGGTTTGTAGCTCAGGTTATATAAGAAACATCTTATTGAAAGAAGTAGTACTATATTACAGGAAATAACGTAGAAGTTCTAACAGTTTGCTAAAGCCATTTTAAGGAATTTTTCTGCTTAATAGTTCATTGTTCATATGCATGTATACTTAATTTCTTACAAAACAAAATATAATTTTATAATTTTATATGTCATCGGTACCATTTACAGGGGAGCATGTGCACAAAAATTGTTGTATACTGTGATATAATAGGTTATAGTAAATTACCTGTTTTTCTTATTTCAAAATTGACCTTTTCTTGAATTCCACATCCTCTTTCTCTATCCCTTTTTTCTTAATTGGTGCCTACTAGAATGAAATTCTTTCACATCATCTCCAAAGGAACACCATATATTTGGATCATCAGGTGGGATTCGTAGAGATTTTCTTACTTTTTACTGCTTAATGGAACTTCTTAAATATAGTATGGTTTTCCAGCTTACTCAGCTATTTCAGTCACTTTGAATTAATGACATGACTTTTACAAGTGACAGAATATGAAATCCTTGACCAGGTGAATTCAGGAATTCCATAATAAACAGGGAAAAAGGACAGGTTTGGAGGTAAAGGGGGATATAAATGCTGGGTCACCTAAAATTGAGAGCCTAAATTCTCTAGACTTCCTTCTTATCCCATTAAAACACCTACTCATTGAGGCTTATCTTAGCTTGGAGTTGACCTAATTAAAGGAGCAGACACCAAGCTGTGAATTGTCTTGTTGGAAGGCAAGATGGAGGGTGAATGTAGTATGCTCTGTTTTCCCAAAGAGGGGTCTAAAGATGAGCAAAGTCGGCCAGATACAATGGCTCACGCCTGTAATCCCAGCACTTTGGGAGGCCAAGGTAGGCAGATCACTGGAGGCCACGAATTTCAGACCAGCCTGGCCAACATGGAGGAACCTGTCTGTATTAAAAATACAAAAATTAGCCGGGCGTCACAGTGAACATCTGAAATCCCAGTTACACAGGAGGCTGAGGCACAAGAATTGCTTGAACCCAGGAGGCAGAGGTTGCCGTGAGCCAAGATGTCGCACCACTGCACTCCAGCCAGGGTGACAGAGCAAGACTGTCTCAAAAGGAAAAAAAAAAAAAAAGAGAAGTGGGGGGGTAGGAAGGAAAGAAGAAAGGAAGATGGGTGACGTGTATAGTGGAGGTGATTTTTAGTTGCCTGTCCTTATTCCCTGTTTGCTGTGTACTTCCAGTGTTTGGTTTTTGCCAACTTATGTGGAGCCAGTTTTATAGTGACCTACAGTTCCTAGCATTAGCTCAGCGGTGATACCAGGTGTGGCTTGTTGAGGTGAATGTTCAAAACTGAAAGTTGCAATGGGCCGGGCATGGTGGTTCACGCCTGTAATCCCAGCCTTTGGGAGGCTGAGGTGTGTGGATCACCTGAGGTCAAGAATTTGAGACCAGCCTGGCCAACATGGCAAAACCCCATGTCTATTGAAAATACAAAAATTAGCCAGGCATGGTGGTGCACACCTGTAATCCCAGCTACTTGAGAGGCTAAGGCAGGAGAATCACTTGAACCCTGGAGGCGGAGATTGCAGTGAACCGAGGTCGTGCCACTGCACTCCAACCTGGGCAACAGAGTGAGACTTTTGTCTCAAAATTTTTAAAAAGTGGCAATGAACAAGGAGTGACTCTCTCCTCTCCCATATTTTAGTTTTTATAAAATGCTCTATTAATTTTTAATTTGATAGGAATCTTTTTGTTACAAGACATAGTTTCTTTCATTGAATGCATTTTTTCATGTAAATTAAGCTAAAACTTATTCTAGCTTGTTTCAAAATGTCCAAACTTAAATATTTTATCAAATAAAGAGGTTACTATAGAAAATGTTGTAAGACAAATGCTTGCATATTTATATTTGTCTGTTTGAAACAAAATAGTAATGTGCTACTTTAAATTAGTTGTATTTAAAGAGGGATTTTACATTAGGATAACCCTTTGAAAAGTGTTAAATCATTTTTCTTATTTTAATTTTTAAAAGTAACATAGTTTTGTTAGTATAAAATTTATATATTTTCCACAGAATATTTTCGTCATCACTTTGCCCCATTGGAATGCTTTAAAAAATAATTATTTCATGTATCCAAATTTCAGAACTTCAATCCAGAGATTGAGGCTATTGAAATTTAACCCCAGTGTATATTATGCATTTTGAAAGCAGTCTAATAAAGACATGTTAGCTAATAAAATAGAAAACTACATCTTCCTTCAAATTCTGTACTACCAGAAAGCTGCTAAGATACATGGGAAATAAAAAAAAAAGGCGGGCGTAGTGGCTCACGCCTGTAATCCCAGCACTTTGGGAGGCCGAGGCGGGTGGATCACGAGGTCAAGAGATCGAGACCATCCTGGTCAACATGGTGAAACCCCATCTCTATTAAAAATACAAAAAATTAGCTGGGCATGGTGGCGCGTGCCTGTAATCCCAGCTACTCAGGAGGCTGAGGCAGGAGAATCGCCTGAACCCAGGAGGCGGAGGTTGCAGTGAGCCAAGATCGCGCCATTGCACTCCAGCCTGGGTAACAAGAGCGAAACTCCGTCTCAAAAAAACAAAAACAAAAACTCCTTTGTATTTAGAGCTACAGATAGTCCTAAAAAATAGTGGGATATTAAAAATTAGGTTTAGAAAACAATGTTATAAATATGAATTTGAAGTTATCCGGCATCTCAGAAAAGAAACCTTGTGGCTTACTATAATTTATTACTGACCTCTTTGAATCAAAGCTGGAATTGCGGAGACACAGAACTTCAGAAAAATTTAGAGGGGACAGGTAAATACATCAAAAACACCACCATTTGCTAAGAAGCCCTTCCTCAATCACTTTCCCGGGTCGAGATTGTGTTTTATTCCTTTACCTATCCCGTTGAGGCTCATTCCCGTCACTCCTCTCTAAGCAGGCTTTGTTGAACCTTTTCTACTGCTTCATGCTTGTCCTACCAGTGACTTCTAAACATCCCACCATGTTACTGATCTCTATTCTCTCAACATGTCACCAAAGCTTTTCCAGTAGTTTACCTGCAGTTAAAAAAAAAAATTATTCAATTTTTCAATTTTGTGTTAATGAGAAGGATTACAGAATTGTTTGAATTATATTTTGTGTTTGAAATAAGACTATTTTGATAGCAAAAATTGGGCCATTTTTAGGTAATGATTAGATAGCATGTGAAAACATGGTGGAGACTTTGCCCAGAAACTCAGATATGCTTAAATGTATATATCTTTAAGGTTTCCTAAAGAAAATCTCTCTTTAAATAATTGCATTAAAAATTTATGATTTCAAATAATTGCATTTAATATAAATGAAATTACTTAGTTTTGAACTGTTCTATATTTTATATCAGTAGTTATGGCTATTAAATCATATAAAAATAGTTATTGATAACTTTGAGTTTTAATAAAATTTTTCATTCAGCTCAAACATTTCCAGCTTTTAATCTTGTTACTGCCAGTAACATAACATTTTAGATTACCAGGTCTGTTGTTTTTGTGGGCATTATTGGCTCCCTGGGTTTATGAATTGATTCATAAGTTTTATATAACCACAAATTTGAAAGTAAATTATAAAATCTGAAAGAGGAAAAGGCTCTGGTCACATTTTATACTATATATCATAACAAATAAACATGTACTTATCTATTCTCAAGCTTAGTCTGCCTTCCCTAATAGATCATCAGAATAACCTAAGACCAGCAACAAAATCCAGTTTTCCTCCTGCCCCTTGTGAGGCATTACAATAATCAAAAGCAAAACTGTAATTTATTTAAATTATGTTAATCCCTGTCACTATTCACAAAAAAGATCCAAAGAGTAGTCTCAAGAGTTGCTTCAGAGGTCAGCTCAATTCTGATGCTGCTGGACTGTTTAATAACAAATAAAAAATAAAATTACCTTATCTGAAAGTCTAAAGATTTACATATTAAACAGTCAATCCAAAAATCTTGATTTCTTGTGCCTGTAACTTCAACAAAATAGTTTGGTTCTCATTATCACCATTTATGAGGATGAACCATGTATCGAAGTGGTTTAAAAATAACAATAGCGTGGCTGGGCACAGTGGCTTATGCCTGTAATCCCAGCACTTTGGTAGGCAGAGGCAGACGGATCACTTGAGGTCAGGATTTTGAGACCAGCCTGGCCAACACGATGAAACCCCGTCTCTACCAAAAATTTTAAAAATTTTTAAAAATTAAGTTGGCACCTGTAATCCCAGCTACTCAGGGGGCTGAGACAGGAGAATTACTTGAACCTGCAAGGCGGAGGTTGCAGTGAGCCAAGACTGCACCACTGCACTCCAGCCTGGGCGACAGAGTGAAACTCTGTCTTAAAAAAAAATAATACATATATATCTATACTAACTACATGGTAGAATTTTCTTCAGTTTTTTGTTTCATTATGAAGTACACTATTACAGTTTGTGTATGCTTCCATATCCCAGTTTGTATATTATTCGAAGTCCACATTTATGTAAGACTAGCCCTGGTTCGTCATTTTTGTGAATTTTAAGATAGCATTACTGTATACATAGAGTAATCCCAACTATATTCCTTATATATCTCATCCGTGCTCTATGTAGAGAATGAATTAAATACACAGTACATCAGTAACTCATTTTCTTCTCATTCAGCTTAGTTGTTGCTGAATATTGGAGATACTTTTGGTTATAGTTAAGTGAAACTTGCTAACTTCATCCTAAAATGCATATACTGAATAGATTAAACTTTTATTAGCTTTTCCCATGTTTATTTTTCTGCCTAACAGAATATAAAAGGGGTGGAGGAAGCCATAAACAAAGTGTTGCCCTTCCTGTATACTTGCCATGAGGTTGGAAGTAAATTTCAGATTATCAGCAGTTAAAGCAGGGTCTCCTTCCCTGAAGAATGAAGTATACTGTTGCAGTTCTTTGACAGTGCCATAGTGGCTGGTTGTTATTTATGAGGGAAAGAGAAAATTTTGGGGAAAAAAAAATTTTTTTTTATCAGAACAGGGCAGATCAAGCATAAGCTGCCTTACTGAGCAAGCATTTTATTATTAGGAGTCCCTAAAAGGTTCCACAGAGCCAGGTATAAGTCATTTGTTTGAAACAAGAGTAACAGGTTTCCAGGGGAGCTGATTGTAGCCAAACCATTTGATAATATTTGGTTGTAAGATACAGAAAGAGCATACTGGTTGTTTTGGCTCCTTTACCCTACTGGTTATGAAGCATTTTTAATAGTATCCCTGGTGGTTAGATTCCCAAGCCAGGCCATGAAGCACAGTATTTTACTCTGCGCTATATCTGAAGACTAGACTAACAATATCACAAACCCTATCCACATTGAAGAAAACAACTCTCTTAAAAATGTATTCAATGTGGCG